CACCGATCTGCGACCTTGCTATGCATCCTGCAACTCGCATTCTGTCGTCCTCAAAACAAGCCTGAGACCTCGATGGCCAAGCTCTCGAGTTTGAGCACCTCCGACGCTCTGGGTGTGATCCTTCTGCACCGTCTTCGCCGGTTGCCGAACTGCGAGCTGGTCGGAGTCTTCCATGTCTTGCTTCAGAGAATCTGCATCCTGCACGTTGCCACGCCGCAAGCAAAACAATTTCTGCCCCGTCCCGCGGGGCCTCACCCCGCGATACACACGTTCCGGAAGTCTGACTTGTTGACCTGCTGACGCTCTGACATGCTGCCCCAAGGCGCTATGCACGCGATGTTTCTGGCCCCGCCGGGCAGTCAACGTCGAAGCGGGCTAACCCCCCAGCTTCGATTATCCGCCAAGCATGCCGAGTCGCCCTTTTCGACGATGATGGGGCGTCTTCGACCCGCGCTACTGGCCCGGTCTGGGCAACCTGGGGCCCGTTGCGGCCACTCAGGCGAGCCGGCCACACCTTATCTTTCGTGCCGACAGATAGCGGCGCAAGCTAATTGCTCGAGGCCGTGTCTCGATCATCTAAGAGTGACAGTCATGGCGCCCCAGTCACTCCAGTGATAGACCGGATCGCGCAGTAGCCCAGTTTTCGTCTCTTGTTACTCGCAAGATTTACATATATATCTGGATCCGGGATCGTCATCTTCACGGTCGGCTCCTCCAACCAGCACCTTGTTTTCTGTTTTCTGTGACACGCTGCCGGGACATAAATCGTCACTGTACCCGCCGAGTCATACCCGCATCGCTTCTCTGGATAAGACATCCCACCAGAGACATTTCCGGAGCCCTCACGCGTGCCCAGGAAAACCCACTTGCAGCCCTACGCTGTATTTGGTCTTGACATCAACTCTGGTTCTTTGTTCTTCGCTATCCAGCTCAGCAAACCTTTTTGTTCATCGACTACAGAGTGGCCGAAAGGAATACCAACATCAAAATGGACGAAGACCAGGGTCCCGCCCAGATCGTTCCGGGCACCACGCCCAAGAAAACCATTGGCGACCGCGTCCGTGGCGCAAAGCGAGCCTTCTTCACCAAGGATGGCCTGATCGGCACATACGATTATGCCTTCCTCTTCCGACCTAACCTCCCCTTCATGCGCAAGAGCCGCCAGAACTCGCCCTTTTTCGGCCTCAACGACCAAATGCCCACCCTCCTCGCCCTGCTTCTCGGTTTTCAGCACGCCCTGGGTATGCTGGCGGGCGTCATCACACCTCCGATCCTCATGAGCGGTGCCGCCGGCGCAAACTTGACCACAAGCCAGCAGCAGTACCTCGTCTCCACTGCTCTGATCGTGTCTGGCTTCTTGTCCATGATTCAGATCACGAGGTTTCACATTTACAAGACCAAGTGAGTTCCGCTACTGTCTCAAAACAAGACACACCACGTGCTGACAGCATGAAGCTACTATATTGGTACTGGTCTCCTCTCCGTGGCCGGTATCTCCTTCTCCATCATCCCCGTTGCGCAGGGAGCTCTGAGTCAGATGTACGCAAACGGATTTTGCCCGTCAGACTCCGACGGCAACAGGCTGCCATGCCCCGAAGGCTACGGCGCCATTCTTGGCACTTCGGCCATCACGTCCCTGACCATTGTCTTGATCTCTTTCCTGCCGCCTAAGATCATGCTCAAGATCTTCCCTCCCATCGTCACGGGTCCGACTGTCCTGCTCATCGGCGTCAAGCTCATCGAGAGCGGTTTCAAGAACTGGATGGGCGGCTCTGGGCCTTGTGCTAGCCCCTCGACTGCTGTCGGCTTCTTCGCGAGCTGCCCCAACATTGCTGCACCTCATGCTCTTCCTTGGGGCTCGCCCGAGTACTTTGGCCTAGGTCTGTCCGTTTTCGTGGCCATTATTGCTGCGGAGAGGTTCGGTTCCCCGATTATGAAGTCGTGCGCAGTCATCATTGGCCTCCTTGTCGGTTGTATTATCGCTGCCGCCGCCGGCTACTTTGACCGCTCTGGCATCGATGCCGCTCCTGCCGTGTCCTTCGTCTGGGTCAAGACTTTCCCGCTATCGCTCTACGGACCTCTCGTTCTACCGCTCATTGCAGTCTACATCATCTGGTGAGTTCTTTCTCTGACATTCTTCTTCTTCTTGACCTTTTTTGCTGACTGGTTCAGCGCCACCGAAGCCATTGGCGATATCACGGCTACCTGCGATGTGTCCCGCCTTGAGGTCGAGGGCCACACATACGAGTCCCGTATCCAGGGTGGCGTTCTCGCTGACGGCATCAACGGCATGCTCGCCGCCCTGATGACCATCACGCCAGTCACGACCTTTGCCCAGAACAACGGCATCATCGCCCTGACGCGCTGCGCCAACCGCTCGGCCGGCTACTGCTGCTGCTTTTTCCTCATCATCATGGGCATCTTCTCCAAGTTTGCGGCTTCGTGATCGCCATTCCCTCGTCTGTTCTTGGCGGCATGACGACCTTCCTCTTCGCTGCCGTCGCCGTGTCTGGTATGGCCATCATCAACAAGGGCGTCATTTTCAATCGTCGCAGCCGTTTCATCCTCACCGCAGGTTTCGTCTTCGGCTACGGCGGGTATCCTCCTGACGGGCTACTTTAACGGCGTTCTCAAATATGACGGCGACAACAAGGGCCTGCGTGGCTTCCTCGATGCCATTGAGCTCATCATGAACACTGGCTTTGCGGTCACCACCGTCATCACCATGGTGCTCAACCTGACGCTTCCCGAGGAGATGGATGACGCAGATGCCGCTGAGGTCGCGTCCGTCAATGATCGGGCCATCTTGCAGGGCGACGATAGCGCGAGGACCACTTTCGGAGGGACGCGCAGGCTGTTACGCAGGAGGGCATCAAGGGGGAGGAGAAGTTGCATTGAGTGTGTGGTATTTACTTGTTTCTGCGATGATATCCAATTGTTTAAAAAGCGGTGGAACTATAGCTGTCGGTTGTATGAATTGATCAGTCTCTTAGTCGTTGCTTTGCATTTGTTGTGTCGTCGATCTCTTTGTATAAGGAAGTGCTCGGCACGCCTGACGATGCTCTGTCACAATCTGAAGCGCGATA